AACATACAGTAAACTGCCGCGAAGAAGAACCTAGAATTTAAGAACCTGCTGGCAGAAATTTGTCATTTTTATACTCCAAAATGTAAGAGCCAGTTTAGCCACGAAAAATCAACAGGTTCTTACATGTGGGGTGAGATTACATTTTCATAAACATTTTGATCAAAAGTCTGGCTATAATAGGGGGAAATTTTATTACATTATATAATAAATGTATAATGTATACAACCATTACTGGAAACTGCATAACTTCTAGCTGTTAACCTAGTTTTGTTAGATTTTTGGTAGATAAATGCCTATTATCAAGGACAAATACCATTTATAGCAATTTCTTGTGATCAACAACAGTATCCTTCTTCATAAAAATTAAGAACCTATTTAGCCTAAACTTTCAATAAGTTCTCCAAACTATAAGAATCTATTCTGCCAAAGTTCAAAAAATCTAGGTTCTTCTTCGCGGCGTTTTACTGTACCACGGACATCACTATCTTGCCGACTACAAAGCGAAAATAAAACAAGCCAAGCGCACGACTGCATTACTATCTCAATGGCTTAGAAGAGGCTAGTCCTCATCATACTGACTAAAGTGCTTTTCTTTTAAGGCTTCTATGGCTTGTTTCACTTGTTTCATGCAAAATACTACACATACTACACCAACTACACTAACTACACCAACTGCATTAACTACTGTAACTACAGCAACTACAGTAGCTATGGTAACTGTAGCGGGCAAAGTGGGTATGGAATGTCTCTATATTCGTGACGGTTATCATGTATCCATTACCTTATACTTTGTCTCGAATATTACCTTTTGTAACGTCTTCATCTCCTGTAAATTGCTTTTCGGTATATAGATGACAAATAAAATATGGGATTTTGGTTGAATGCAATTCTGAATAGACTTTGTTATTCTTTGGGGGATATGGGATCTCAGCTTTTTTCCATAATCTAGCATGCAGGATAACCTTACACTGAAACGTAAATTTCACTTTCCCATTTTTACGTTGATTGTTCTCAGTTGACCTTAGGGCGTGTATGAGACACGGACATATTTGATTACTTAGTAGTCTTATTTACTCTTAGGAAATCATCGCCCGACATGTTCTAGCAAAATCTTTTTTAGTTTGGTTTGTTGAATAAATTTGTTGTTCAGTTGGACTTCCCTGAGTGTATATCACATTCAGTTACATAGCGAATAACTCGTTACGTTTATCGTGTTGACTTCCTGTCCGCACTGACAGTTCACATTAACGACGAACGAGACACGTCACGTTCAATTTGAAAATTTCTCAAAATAGAAAATGAACAGATATAAACAGTGCAAACCAATTCTTATGGATCATACTAGCTTAAATTTGTAGTGATCAGTAGAAAATGGAAGAGGACCTGTCATTTTTTAAAAGAAAAAGCCCTAGGGATGAGCAGCGTGATCAGATAGCGGCGCTTTGAAATAAGATGAATTGTGGAGTATGTGTCACGTGTCATGTGTTGAAAATAGCAAGGAATAGGCCATTTGCACTAAGAGGTCATGTGACATCGTTTTTATGAAAGTAAAAGTTATATGATTTTTTTCTTCAAAAAACGATTAGTGGGTCATGTCTTGAACAAAATAATAGTGATTTTGCTTTTCAAACCTGCACCATTTTCTTAAAATGAGTAAGTTCGTAGTTGGTCACGTGACCAAAATGTGATTTTTGTAATTGTGAATTAACTCTCTTTGAACACAAATTTCGCTCTTAAACTTCAAGGAGAATGTTGAAAAGTTGATGTGGGGACGTTTACAGCACATCTGAGCGTAACTATCAAATGTGTAACAAGATCTAAGCAGAAAGTACTTTTGGCCGCCATGTTGGAGGGCAAGAGTATGCCCTCCAGCATGGCGGCCAATACAAATGATACTACTTTGTTGAAA